GATGGACAGAGCCTGGGAGCTTGCTGACCAGCTAGCCTGGTTTAATGAGAGAATATCTCAAAAAAGCAAGGCGGAGAGTGACTGAGGAAGACACCTGCCATCTTCCTCTGGCCTCCTTATGAACACATATGGGTATGATTACCATATACACATATGGGGAGACACACACTCTCTGTCTCTCTGTCTCTCTCTCTCTCTCTCTCTCTCTCTCTCTCTCTCTCTCTCTCTCTCTCTCTCTCGCTGTTCCTTTAAAAACATAAATAAAATAGGGCCAGGTGTGGTGGTGCACACCTTTAATCTCAGCACTTGAGAAGACATACACAGGTGGATCTCTGAGTTTGAGGCCAGCTTGGTCTATAGAGTAAGTTCGAGGACAGCCAGGGATACATGGAGAAACCCTGTCTCAGAAAACAAAATAAATAAGATAAAAATAGTCATCTTGCCCTTGCAAGCTTTTGGCCAAGATGCACAAAAATAATTCTATCAATGGAAGAGTATTGACCTAATAATAGTTAAAGTCAGTTAGTAGGAAGCCAGAGGCAAATTACTTAACTTTGCATAATTATTTGAATGTAAAAAGGGAACATTATCCATTCCTACCTCTCAGTGTGGTACAGCTATACAAGACTACAAACATGAGACACAGAAAAACAAACAAACAAAAAACAACAGCAACAAAAACATTAAAGATGTGAAAAGTGAATGTAGTAGGTGTGATGACTCTGACCTGGATGCCTAGCACTTAGAAGGACAACACAGGTATATATATATATATATATATATATAGAGAGAGAGAGAGAGAGAGAGAGAGGAATGAAGGAAGGAAGGAAGAAAGAAAAATAGGGCTGAAGAGATAGCTCAGCAGTTAGGAGCACTGGATGGTTTTCTGGAGGACCTGGGTTCAAGTCCCAGCACCCACATGGCAGTTCACAACTGCCTGCAACTCCAGTTCCAGGAGATCCTATATCTTCATACCAATGCACATAAAATAAAGTTAAATAAATTATTTAAAAAATAAATAAAACATAAGGGCCAATAAAATGGTTCATTGGGTAAAGACACAGCACCAAACCTGACAATATGAGTTTGCTCCCTGAAACAAACATGGTGGAAAAGACAACACCTGCAAGTTGTCCTCCGACCTCCATATTAGTGTCATGAGGCAAAACATACACACACACACACACACACACACACACACACACACACACACACACACACACACACGTAAATAGATATTAATCCCCAACAAAAAAACAAAACAAACAAAAAACCCCAAAGCAACAAAAACTACATAGTATTATACAATGCTAAGAACACAATGTGAGGATGGCCCTGCTGTTTACTGTCTATATATAGCAGGTGAACATTTGACCTCTCCATGCTCCGATTTCTTCATCTGTAAAACAGAAATAATGTTAACTTTGAACTCATAGGGTTCTGTAAGTATTAAATGATCTCACAGAGCTGGGTGAAATGGTGCACACCTACAAACTCAGCATTCAGGAGACTAAAGCAGAAAAATGAAGAATTTGAGACTAGCCTAGATTATATAGCAAGACCCTGTCCCAATAGACAAAAAAAAAAAAAAAAAAAAAAAAAAAAAAAAAAAAAAGATCTCATACATGTGAAGGGCTTAAAATGGTACCCGGCAAACAGTAAATAAAATATGTGTTAGCTATTATTATTGTTATAGTATTTATATGTAAACTGCCTTATGAATAAACAGCTGGGTCACTATAAATAAGGAACAGTAACAAGTGACTGCAGTGACCAGCTGGACCTCTGTTTGAAACTGGGAATTTAAATCAAAGAAATACACTCTGAAAAATAAAAAGGGACTGAGAAAAAGGAAAACCTTGATGAAATTAGTTTTCTACATAGAGGGGGCATGCAAGTTTGGCATGGTGGCACATGAATGAAATATCAGCACTTGAAAAGCAGACAGACACAAAAGGAGCCCAAGAAAGCCTGGTCTACATAGCAAGCTCTAAGCCAGCAATGGCTACAGAGTATCTGAAACCAATAAGCAAGAGGAGGGAGCACAAACGTATAACCCTGAGAATCATTGCAAACACCGACTCAGCACATAGTGTCTGATGCCTCCAACTTGCCTGCTTATGGGACAAGAACAAGAAATATGCGCTATCAATAAGCTTTGGACCCTGGGACACTTAGGGGAAAAGGTTGTCCATATACTTAGAGATTTTCGCAGATGAACGGAGGTAAGCATCTGCCTGGAAATCTCACAATGTCACAAGACAAGAGTGCCGAGTTAATAAGTCTTGTTTTTTTCCTGAATCAGTAATAGCTTATTTCAACAAAGCAGGAGATAGTACCACTTACAAGATTGCAGAACGTCCTTATTTTCCTCAGACATTGCTTCATTGGACATGCCTTTCCTGGGAACTTTTTGGTATACTTGGAATTCAATTAACTATCCCTCTATTGTATCCCATGCCTCTCTAACGGACCACAAAGCCAACTTTACTGGACAGAGTCCATGAATCAATGCAAATCTTTGGGTGACACAAAGAAAGAGCTTATTAGCATAAACCCACATTCCTTTTAGTAGTTATGAGTGAGGGAGTCTGAAAGGAATGCTGCTAATGCCCAGTCAGATTAAGAATACAATGGTATGGAATAACAACACCAATCTGCATTGCATACCATTATTCACTGGAAATATGTACACCCTGACTAAACATGCCACTCATTCTTTATTGATATGGGACACAGAGAAACAGTAAGCAGGACTCCAAAGACTTGCCCAAGATTCTACAATGACTCACAAGCAAGCCCAAGCTTGAATCAATGTACTGATTCTCACCCAATTTGTGCCCCTCTGTGTGCCAGGTATGCTTAAAAGCTCCTTCTTGAGTCTTCATGGGCTCCTGGAACCCTTCACTTGGTGTTTTAAGGGATGGCTGGGGGCAACATTTGCCAGCCATGGTTATACTGCCAAAGAAGCTGCTGTAAGAGCTCAGAGCCATAAATAAGTGACCTTTATGGTGCTGCCAGGACCGTTGATCTCCAGTGCTTCTGAAATATTCTCTTTAAAAGCACCTATTTGAATGCTGTTGGAAGCTTTGCTGGTCAGAAGTCACAGTCCACCATGGCCTGGCAGTTTTTCTCCGAAGCTCGACATCATGGGAACTCCCTCCCCAGCTGGACTTCCTGTTCTCTACTTGCCCTTATCTGGAGAATGTCTGTGGGCCCAGAGGGTGGACATTATCTGAACGTCTCTAAGCCTGAGTGCCTGATTTATCTTTTTGTTTTTTGTTTTTTTGTTTTTTGAGATAGGGTTTCTCTGTGTAACCACTCTAGCTGTTCTGGAAATAGCTCTATAAACCAGGCTGGCCTCAAACTCAGAGATCAGCCTGCCTCTGCCTCCCAAGTGCTGGGATTAAAGGTGTGAGCCACCACTGCTAGGAGGCTGGTTTATCTTTAGTATGACCCTTGGCATAGTTCCCTGCTAGAAGCCTCCCCTGCTGCACTATGGTAACTAAGACTTATACTAGGAGCTTTGCTATAGGACCCTACTGCCACATAAGAAACCTTATGATAGGACCCTGCCACTTAATACAAATTAGGGTTTGTCCCCAAGCTTCCCAATCCTATTAGATATTTCCTATACTTTGGAATAAAGCTGAGCTGATTCACCAAAGTCATCTCCCAGAGGACTTTCTCCATGGTACTCACAACTGTCCAACCCGCTTCTGTTCTCTCCACCCTCATGAACCAATGTACAAACAATCCAGAGGAAGAAGCAGAGCCATGGTATATTATACAGTTCACAACCCCCAATCTCCAGTATGGGGGAAAGGTGATGCACCCCACTAATTGTAACACTTAGGAGGTGGACATAGGAGTACAAGTTCAAGATCATTTTGGCTATCAGGCAAGTTTGAGACCCTAGACTATATAAGACACGTCTCCATTTTTTAAAAAGGAAAGGGGGGTAAATAGTTCAGTTGGTAAAGCTCTTAATTTGAACCTACATAAAAGAAAAGCAGGGCTGGGTAGCACATAATTATATTCCTGGGGCGACAGAGACAATCATATCCCCAGGGCTCACTGGCTATCTAGTCTAGTCTACTTGGCAAGTTCCAGCTAGGGTAAGAGACTCTGTCTCAAAATAAAATAAAAGTACAGCGCCTGAGGTTGCCCTCTGACCTCCAGATATGTGTATACAGGCATACATATGTACATACAGACACAGACACACAGACACACAGACACAGACACAGACACACACACACACACACACACACACACACACACACGTACAAATGTATATATAAGTAATAACAACAATAATAAAATTTAAAATTAACAGTTCTGAGAAACAAGAATTTCCAATTTTGATCTAAAGTACACCCTGGAAGAATGACCATTTCCTCCTGATAGCATACTCCATTAATGCATGCACCTAGGAAGCAGAGGCAGGAGGATCTCTGTAAGTTCTAGGCCAGCCTGGTCTACAGAGTGAGTTCCCGGATAGCCAGGACAAACAAACAAACAAAAATAATAATAAAAAGGAGAATGACCATTTCCTAACTACATGTTCACAAATGATGATGAACATTCAGTATTTGCAGTTGTAACTGAAACCCAAGGCCTGTATACTATTTCCCTACCGTCTAAGGAAGCAAGGGCCACTTAATTACCTCAATATGGGCTTCCCTCAGCCCAAGGGACTAGACAGTCCCAAGTACTATTATGTGATTAATATTCTTACTATCATTACAAGTCACTCAAATGGGTCAAAACTTGACAAGAGGGTAAGTTTAGCAACTTAGCTACTAGATTTTGTTTTTTTCCGAAGTGCCTGAGTCCAACCTAGGGCCTAGGGCACTCTCTACCACTGAGCCATGTCACCAGCCCAACCACTAAGCTCTGAATTTGCTAAGGGCAGAGGACGTTTTATTAATCCTTATCCCAGCATATAACACAGTGTCATCAATACTTGTACTCAATAAGCATGTGATAAACATTACCATGTAAGATGTCTGAGTCGTCTTCAACAAAATCAATGTCTCTTAAGTCCCATTCTGCGTAATTGTCAAACTCCTGTTAGAGGGGGAAGAACATCCAAACCCAACAGTTTTGAGTAATGCCTTTACAATAGCTATGCTTTACAGGCAAAGAGGATATTCTTGAACCAATATTTGCTAAGTACTAAATTGGATAAAAGGCAAAGATACTGCTCTAAGGGAAAAATTATAGGAAAAGTCTGAGAGACAGTCAGGCAGTCATGAAAACAAAGAGCTGGGACAGCATAATATTAGGAACAAGCCTATTGTTTAAAAATTTTTAATAGGCTGCTCATTCCAAAGAGAATCTTTGTTAGGCCTTTAAGTATTCTGGTAAGAATTAATTCATTTTCTTTTTATCACCCTTTGGGAGATCTATTTAGAACCAATATCGCTTAAACACTAAGATCAGTTCAGTCTATTCGAAGACAGTTCAGAGAAGAGGTTGACTATGGAGCAGCTTTGTACTATAACCTGCCACGAACAAAATGCCCAACTGGGTATGGCAAACCTGACTCTAGTTTAACACCCCTACCTCCAAGATCACTGCAGTTGACATCACATAGCAAACTAATTTTGTTTTTGTTTTTGTTTTTGTTTGAGACAGACTTGGAATGTGTAGCCCTGGCTATCCTGGAACTCACTCCATAGGCCAGGCTGGTCTTGAACCCACAGAGATTCTGCCTGCCTCTGCCTTCCAAGTGTTGGGATTAAAGGTGTACATCACTGGGCTGGAGAGATGGCTTAGTGGTTAAGAGCACTGACTGTTATTCCAGAGGTTCTGAGTTCAATTCCCAGCAACTACATGGTGGCTCACAACCAACTTGAATGAGATCCAGTGCCCTCTGCGGGCCTGCAGGCATAAGACTGTATACATAATAAATAAATCTTTAAAAAAAAAAAAAGGTGTACATCACCATTACCACCTGACTGCAAATTAAATTCTTATGACTACTTCTACATTTATTTTAATACCATGGATAAATGCAGAAAATAGTTTTTTTCTTTAAAGACAGGATTCCTCTGTATAACAGCCCTTGTTGTCCTGGACATTGCTTTGTAGACAAGGTAGGCCTCAAACTCAGAGAGATCTGCCTGCCTCTTCCTCCTGAGTGCTAGAACTAAAGGTATGTGCCACCATACCTGGCTTAATAAAATAGTTTTTTTTAAATTAATTTATTTATTATGTATACAACATTCTGCTTCCATGTATATCTGCACACCAGAAGAGGGCACCAGATCTCATAATGGATGGTTGTGAGCCACCATGTGGTTGCTGGGAATTGAACTCAGGACCTCTGGAAGAGCAGTCGGTGATCTTAACCTCTGAGCCATCTCTCCAGCCCAATGAAATAGTTTTAATGGACACATGCATACATACAATTCGGGACTCAGCAACCACTCCTTACTGCCTACTTGGGAAATAAACTTTTATTGGAAAACAGACATATCCATTTGTTTACATATTATCTATGCTCCCTTTCTTTCTTCCTTCCTTTCTTTCTTTTTCTTCTTTTTTTTAGACAGGCTCACATTACACAGCCCAGGCTTATCTAAAACTAAAACTCATGTTTCTGTGCTATTTTTACACAATAACAGTCAAGTTTGGTTGCAACAGAAACTTAATAATTTTAAAAATGTAAAAAATGTAACCTGGCCCTGATATAGCACAAGCTTGAAAACCCCTTGCTATGGAATGACAACTGCAGAAATTTCACACCTACAAAGATGGTGGGAGCAATACAACTGCACCCTAGGAGGCTGGTTCCCCTTCAAAACTGTCACTGCTCCCTCCACAGGTGGTCACAATGGGAAAAGGAAAGACCTGGAAATGACAGTGCCTTGAAAAATCTTCCTTTCATAAGAGATAATAACCTCATTGGAAACAAAAGTAGTTTTTCCTTATTGTATACTAAAAACAAGTTTTTATTACCTCAATGAAATCTGCCCGAGCTGGCATGTATCCTGCCATGTCCCGAGACAACAATGAGTCAAAAGCAGGCCGGGGAGGGTCATCTGCAGCTGGAACAAACAATGGGTTTTTTTTTAATAAATAAAACACTGATATTAAAATGTCAAATAAATGTCTTTATTTATAGTTTGGATTTAAAAACAAAAACAAACTGTTGGTGAATATTTGCTTACACTGTGAAGATATGTTTTTGCCAAGGCAAGGTGTCTTCTGATTGGCTTAATAAAAAGCTGAATGACCAATAGCTAGACAGGAAGAGGTTAGGCAGGATTTACAGGGACAGACTCTGTGAAGAAGAAGGGCCTGGTCGACAGCCAGACACGGGGAGGAAATAGGAGGTGCAAGATGGAAGAGAGGTAAAGCCATGTGGCAGAACATAGATTAATATAAATGGTTAATTTAAGTTATAACAGCTAGTTGAGACAAGCCTAAGCTAAAGGCCAAGCCTTCATAATTAATAAGTTTCTGTGTTGTTATTTGTGAGGTGATGGTCAATGAAAAGACTTGCTAATTCAACAAACAACCCCCCCCCACAAAAAACAAACAAACCAAAAACTAACAATAACAACAAAAACAAAACAGAGTTTCTCAGAGTATGAAGGCACATGCCTTTATCCTAGCACCTAAGAGGCAAAAGCGGGAAGATCAGATCAAGGCACACTTAACTACACAATGAGTTCAAGGCAAGGCCAAAACATATGAGGGCAGGGTATCACTAAATAGCTGAGGGTGGCCTCAGACTCTTATAATTCTCTTGCCTCAGGCTGCTGGGTTACAAGTGTCAGGCATCACATGCAACTCTGAAACATTTCTTTGAGAAAAAGGATCTAAGAATAAATACAAAAGTTTTATAAAGAATGAAAAGTAATTGCGGAAAAAAATACAACAGCTTCTTTTGTCTTTTTGGGGGGAATGGGGGGATAGAGTCTTCTCTCTATGTAGCTCTGGCTGTCACTCGCTATGTGGACTAGGCTGATTTTGAACTCAGAGATCTACCTGCCTCTGCCTCCCAAGTGCTGGTGGTGTTTTTATTTTGTGCTGAGACAGAGGTTTCATTATATATCCTACACTACTCCCAACCTCCCAATCCTCATGTCTCAGCTTCCCAAGTGGCAATCATGGGGTTATAGTCCTATGCTACTATGCACACCAAATCCCAGACTGATTTCCTAATGAAGAAAACGTCCTCTGATCTGCATGTGTTTGTGCAGGCAGGCATGTGCAATGACATGCATGCAGAGGTCAGAGGACAAGTTGCAGAAGTCCGTTCTCTCCTTCCACCATGTGAGTGCCAGGGAGTGAATTTAGGTCAGGCTTGATGGCAGGTGCCTTGCCTGCTGAGCCATCCTGTAGCCTTGCCCTCTGATTTTTGTTTTCCCAAAATGATTGAAAAATGAAACAAAGCTATTTTCCTTCAATGTATAGAACTTAAGTATCCTGTCAGTGCCCTGCTCCTTTGATCTTTAGGACCACTACCAACTTACAGATCTCATCCAACCAAGAAGCAAAAGCATCCTGGATTTTGAAGTTAATCAAACTGGGTCCCAGTGCCAGCCTACAACAGTTCTACAACTTTGTACAAATTGTTCAACCTTTTAAAATCTCAGTTTCCTTGTGTGTAACACAAAAGCACCCACTCTGATTATTTCACTGGGTTGCTGTTCATAAAAAACAGGCCTAATGGAATGGAGGAAAGTGCTAACATCCAGAGTGCTATCCAAGTAGGAGGTATCAGCAACCTCTGAGGTCATCAGCTACAAAGCTGTTTCCCAGAAGTGAGGAAAGGCAGGCCAGTAGGAAAGCATGCATACATTACTGGTGTTCTGGGGCCATTCATGGACGATCCTTGTTTGTAATTAATTCATCAGATTCTGGTTACACTGCATTAAAAGACCCACTGATCCCCACAGGCATATCAGATTAAAAAAGATTGCCTTCACTGCCATAACTAAGTGAATAAAAAGAACAAATTACTCCTTGGACTTAACACTGAGGCAATAGTGAATCCTGGTAAGCAACTCCTACCAAAGGGATGATAAGAAGGCTTGTAACAAAGACAACATAGATTGGCCCCTTTTTGGACATAACAACTTACAGAAGCAATTGTTAATTAATGTTAACTAATATATTGCAAGAGATCCAGAATAGAAGGCTGCAACTCTGACCTCTGGGATGGGCTCCCTTCTTGCCATATCATAGCCCTGACTCAACAGGTATCATACCAAACTCCTCTTACCTTCCAGAAGCTCTTTATCTGTCCAAGTCATCATATCACTGTTTATCTGCTATGGAAACAGAGCCCAAGGATGGTCTAAGTACCTCTTACCTAGGCAGGCACTTACAGTGAAATGGAATGGCTGTGTCAGCAGTTTTGGCTGCCTCAGCTTGCTTCAGGTTTAGCAGGGTAGATGCAAACAGAGGGTTATTGATGAAATGCTTCATGTAGTGCTTCTCACATTCCTCTTTGGTTTTGGTGCACATCTGATTAGCTACATCCTGCCTAGAACAATGTGGAAAAAGAGCGAAGAGAGTAGTTTTCTTACTGATACAGGCCACTGAAAGCTTGGTTTGTTCATTCCATATTCGAAGTCAAATCAACATAAAATCAATAATTTGATACCTCCAAGTAGATGTGAGCAAAACAACAGTGAGACAGATATACCACTGACACTCATGCCATCTGATATTTCAAATCTTGCTACTTCAAGATAGAGAAACAATAAAGGGACCTTTCCTTCCCACTGGAAGGAAGATGACTATTTTTTACCCATAAATTTCCAGGCCGGGTATGTAACTCAGCTGGCCAAGTACTTTTGCCTAAAATGCATGAAGCCCAGACACGGTGGTATACACCTGTAATCCCAATACAAAAGAGGCAGAGGCAGAAGTGTCAGAAATTCAAGGTCATCTTCGGCTGCATATTGTGTTCAAAGGCCAGTCTGAGATAGACACATGAAACCTTGTTTCAAATATCATCATCAACATCACCTATAAATTTCCCAGAGGTAGGTCGGAGAAAGAAACGTTATAAACAAGAAGCCACCTTGGAGTCAGGAAATGGTGGCAATGCCTGTAATAACAACATTAGGGAGGTAGAGGTAGGCACTCTATATCAGCCAGGGCTATCGAGTGAGACAGTGTCTTTAAAATAAAACGAGGTCAGGCGTTGTGGCTTATGCTTTTAATCTTAGAACTTGGGAGGTAGAGGCTGGAGGATCTCTATGAAACCCAGGCCAGCCTGGTCTATATACTGAGTTCCAGGACAGCCAGGACCACATAGAGAGAACCCTATCTAAAAACAAAACCAAAAAAACCACCACCACCACCACCAACAAAACCAAACAGCCTCCTCTTCAAAATGTGGAAGAGAGAAGCAATTCTTGCAAGCTGTCCTGTGTACTTCACATGTAGTGCCCACATCACATACACCATAATAAATGGGACTTAAAATTTTTAAGGGGGCTAGAGAGCTGGCTCAGCAGTTAAAAATATTTCCTTCAGTGGTCAGTAAGTGCCTGCAACTTCACTTACTCCCTTTTCTGGCCTCTTTGGCATGTGAGCATGAGTGACAAACACTTACACAGACACACAGACACACAGACACACAGACACACAGACACACACACACACACCTAATAAACAAACAAAAAAACAAACAAACAAATAAAAAGCCCTTGGGCTGGAGAGATGGCTCAGAGGTTAAGAGCACCGACTGTTCTTCCAGAGGTCCTGAGTTCAATTCCCAGCAACCACATGGTGGTTCACAACCATCCATTATGAGATCTGGTGCCCTCTTCTGGTGTGCAGATATACATGGAAGCAGAATGTTGTATACATAATAAATAAAATCTTTAAATAAATAAATAAATAAATAAATAAATAAGCCCTTAAAGATCATCAGTAACAATAGAAACCATCTTGGAACATACAAAATGTACAAATGTGCCAGGCATGGTGGCACACACCTTCAATCCCAGCACTTGGAGGTTAGACGCAGGTGAATTTCTGTAAAATTGAGGCTAGCTTGGTTTACACAGAATTCCAGGCCAGCCAGGGCTACATGGTGAGACTCTGTCTAAAAAAGTATATAAATCTAGTTTTATTTCTGCATGTCTTATAGCATACAAAACACATGTCATGAGCAGACATTTCTTCACTAGAATTCCTATGGATATGCAAGACATTGAGATAACAAATACTCAGACATAATGTAAGATCACCTTAGTAGTATATTATTATTTTTATTTCACAGAATAAAAAACATATGATACCTAAGAGGTAATATACTTGCTAAGGAAGACAAAGCCAGAATTTATACTGAGATTGATGACTCCTACCTTAGGTGATGCAGAGGTAGAGGTAAAATCTCTCAGTCCCCTCTGCAAGCTCACTCTTTTTTTTTTTTTCCCCCGGGCCAGGGTTTCTCTGGGTAGCTTAGGAGCCTATCCTGGCACTCGCTCTGGAGACCAGGCTGGCCTCGAACTCACAGAGATCCGCCTGCCTCTGCCTCCTGAGTGCTGGGATTAAAGGCGTGCGCCCAGCTCAAGCTCACTCTTACAGAACCCTTTCCTAGGGCATCACCATGATGCTGTGTACATCAGTCAAATGTAGACAGTTTGATTCCCTTAATAGGTAAAGAGCCCATGTGAAGATAGGAACCTAAATTTTTGTGCTCTTACCATCAAGCCAAGTCCCTTATCCACACTGAATACAGAAGTAACTAGATTATCCTGGGTGGTGATGGGGATTGAACCCAAATACCTCACACATCCTGAGCAAAAGCTCTAACACTCAGCTATCTATCTTTCCCACCCAGTAACAGACGTTTCCTTAGTCTTTGCTAAGAGGGAAAGAAGATGAGAGGGACTGGCCCACTTTAGAGAAAAAGTAAAGTCTCAGGCAAAGATGACTTATAAACTGCTCACAAGTGGTCCCTGGTACTCTCTACACATACAGTGTTTTCATGATGTGTAGGTGCTAAATAAATGGAAACAAAATATGAGCTGAGCTCTGGTCTGTCACTTGACCCTGGACATAAGGAGGGCAGCCCTCCTAATGACACAAGAAAGTACTAGGAGCACTAGCAACCAGCGAAGACCCAGGAGGTTCCTTCACTACCAAGTTATGAAAAACAAGAAAGAATTTAACTCCCTAAGATTCAGAAGCTTCATGAACAAAGAATATGTTTAATAAGATCTCTGCTGTCTAGTTCACAAAACAGAATTATTAGCAGGAGTGTTCCTAAATTATAAAATCTGGGAGATTAACCTCCAGATTAAGTGAGAGACTTTGTCTCAAAAAATAACACGGACAGCATAATCGAGGACGACATTTGATATCAATCTCCAGCCACCACACACACACACACACACACACACACACACACACACACACACACGGGTGGAGGTGGGGGAAAAGCAAACTCACACCCTCAAGCCCTAACAAGTGCATACACACTTAAAGCTGTATTGTGTACTCATAAATCTATAAAAACCAGAAGGGAGAAACAATTAGCAGCCTATACTTCTCCACAACTCAGGAAGAACAATCTTGGTGTTGATGATCCAAAGTAACACTGAGAACTGTTCAGTTATGAGCCACTAAACATCCTGTATTCTGAAGGTATTTCAGGCCTAGAAGAAGTTTACACAAATGAGAAACTGCCCCCCCCCCCAGTCCCTCGTCATCAGGGAAGCAGCAGAGCTTTTCACTTTCTGAGGCACTCTGCTTTTGTATTTCCACAGTGGTTTCTCTTCTGAGCCCATAAGGAAAGGAACACCCAACACTAAACTCTTACCAATTTCCAAAGCCACAGTCCATTACAGCTTCTAAAAGGGCCATTTCTTCCTGAGCCGTCCAGCTGGGATCAAGAACAGGAAAGTCTGAGGTCTAAGGAGAAAAAAAAATTTGGTTAAGAACAGGGACGGGAGTGAAATGCAGGAACCTCAATTGTAGTACTTGGTTTAAAAAGACTACGCCACATGTGGCAGTGTACATCACGACAGGCAGGCAGGGACTTCATGTTCAGTGAGGCAAACTGTCTCAGAAAATGAGGTGGAAAGTCTTAAAGAAAGACACCTGATGTCAACTTTTGGCCTCCATATACAGGTGCACACACATACACGTGTAACATGTTGCACACATACAAACATACACTGTACCCCCAATACAAAGACTATCATTATCAGATATTTTCCTCAGGATTTACTATTATTTTCTAGCTCTTCCACACCTACCTCTATGAGCTACAATGTTTTCCAGTAAAACACATCAATATTTATTTTTTTCTGAAAAGAATGTTTGTGGATGTGTTACACAGTAATTATGGTAACATTTATTGGTTCAGCAGTCAGAAGTGCATACTACTCTTCCAGATCACACACACACTCTCTCTCTCTCTCTCTCTCCTTTCTCTCTCTCTCTCTCTCTCTCTCTCTCTCTCTCTCTGTCTGTCTTTATCTCTCTCTCTCTGAAAAATACACCTTACAAGAATTAAAAAAGAAATCAATTTAAAAAGAGGCATAGTGGCACACACCTTCAATCCCAGCTTTTGGGAGGCAGAGGCAGGTGGATCTCTATAAGTTCTAGGCCAGTCTGGCCTACATATTGAGTTCTAGGACAGCTAGGGTTACATATAGAGACCCTATCTCAAAAAACAAAACAAGAGGGAAAAAAAGGAACCCTGATGAGGGATGTCCTTCTGTATATGTTTCTCTTATTGGTTAATGGTTAAAACACTGTTTGGCCAATAGAGGCATGAAGATAGGCGGGGCTAGGAGACAAGAATTCTGGGAAAGGTAGGCAGAGAGAGACTGCGAGGCGATGCCATGTAGAGACTGGGAAGATAGGACGTAGCAGGCATTCTCCAGTAAGATAAGGTCATGTAGAAATACATAGATTAGTAGCCTTGGGTTAATAATTAAGACAGAACTAGCCAGTAAGAAGTCCTAGCTATCAGCCAACAGTTTTATAATTAATATAGGTCTTTGTGTGCTTAATTGGGGATGAAGCAGCTATGGGGCCTGTTGAGACAAGAAGACTCCAGCAACAGAACCCACAGTACTAACAGGCAACACATTTTGATCTATGCCTACCATATGAGCTTATTATAAGAAATTTCAGAAACCATTCATATATTAAACTCATCCCAATCACATTCAACCTGGCAAGTACCATAAAGATTTGCAAATATAAAGTCACATATTGGTTGACATGTGTGGTAATTTGAAAGAAAATGGCTCCGAATGCCACTCCAAAAGAAGTGGCACTATCAAGAAGTGTGGCCTTGTTGGAGGAAGTGTGTCATTGTGGAGGTGAGCTTTGAAGTCTCTTTTGCTCAAACTTCTCTTAGTATGACAGCCAGCCGACTTCCTGCTGCTTCTGGTCAAAATTCAGCCAGCACTACTACTACTGCCTGCAGGACACCATGCTCCCCATCATGAAGATAATGGACTGAACCTCTGAAACTGTAAGCTACCACCCCAACTAAATGTTTTCTTTATAAGAGTTGTCATGATCATGGTGTCTCTTCACAGCAATAAAAACCTAAACTAAGACAACAGTTGTGTTGTTTCTAAAAACTGTTTCAAAATACTGATTTACCACTCAACAACTTATAATAAAATCTTTCTATGCTACAGAAGAACAACAAAAGGCTTTTTGGAATAACATTAAACTTCCTAGAAGAAAAGAAAAAAGGCTGCCCCTTTCTTCTTGAAATTTAGTGTTATTCAATCCTTGATCCAAACTTGGGTCAGAATCTCTAACTGTGGGACCTGGAAATTTACAGTTCTAAGCTCCAGGTAATAAAGCCTAAGAATTATTGTCATAAAGGGTGTGGCAGAGGAGCTGCCTTCTCTTGCTCAAGGTCCTAAGAATTACAAGACAAAAATAGCTACAGAATTCAGAAATCTCTATTAATGTACCACCCACCACAGCATGAGTAACTCCCCAAAATACAGTGCTGTGAGATAAGAAAAGTACTGAAACCATTTAAAGTTATCAGATGCTTTGTGCTGCAAAGGATCAAGATTTTAGAGGCATGAGGTGTAGAACACCAGAAGCTGGTCATCACTTCTATAGAAGGAAAGACTTGTTGAAACAGGAAAGATTGGCTAATAAAAGGTGGAGAGTATTAGTATTCCCCAGAGGCTCCCTTGAGTTCAGACCCCTGAAAGGTGTTTGTATGGGGGGGGGGCATGTGAGAAAGAATGATGTAATAAGAACTGAGTGGACCTGGCTGAAGTGAAACTGTTTTTAGCATTATGTGGAAGATGTAGTGATCAGAATAGCTACAGAGAGCTTACAGTCAGTCAGCTTTCCTATGGTGGCTGAGCATGACTACAAACTACCCAAGCTACATAATTATCTCATAAGGGCTATTTTACCATCTCAAATGAATAATTTTGGATACTGAGGATGTAGCTCAGGAGTAGCAGCATGTGATCCAATCCCCTGCACCATAAAAATAATTAAAATAAAACAGATAACAAAATCTGAGTCTAGAAATTTTAGGTGGATTTGGAAACAGTGAATCAATTTTCTGAAGATACATTAATTTTGATGACATAAACTCAAATCCAAAGCTGCTCTGATCCTTTCCAAACCTTTATTCAACATGCAATTGGCAAAAGGGAGAATATGAGACTTAAAAGAAAATGTAGTCATCCCTGGGAGGTGGGGGCAGGAAGATCTAGGATTCAAGGCCATCTTTGGCTACCTAGCAAATTTATGGCCAGCCTGAGCTACATGAGACTCCGTCTCAAAAAACTCAAAAAAGCAACAAAACAAAACAAAACAAAAAATCCTTCAAATTAAAAAAGAGACTGCAGGCTGGAGAAATGATTCAGTGATTAGGGACACTTGCTGATCTTCTAGGACCTGAGTTTGGTTACAGAACCCATGTCAAATGTCTCACAATTGTCTGTAGCCCCAGCTCTGAATGATCAGGGTGCCACTGCCCTCAGCTGAGCAGTGGTGGCACGTCTTTAATTCCAGCACTCGGGAGGCAGAGGCAGGTGGATCGTTGTGAGTTTGAGGCCAGCCTGGTCTACAAAAGTGTTTTAGGACAGCCAAGGCCACACAGAGAATCCCTGTCAAAAAAAAAAAAAAAAAAAAAAAGAAAAGAAAAGAAAAAGAAAAACAAAAGAAAAAGAAAAAGAAAAAAAACTAGAGCAAAAATAATAATTAATATTTTTTAAAAGGAAAGACTTAAACCGTAAGGAAAGGCAACTAGTTTTTCTCCCTAAACTCTTATTAAGTTGCTTTCTTTTCAGTAATGAGAAAGACCTGGATGCTGGGATTGAAAACGTGAACCACTATGCCCAATTTCTTTCCAATTTTTTAAGAAACACACATAAATGTGCTGTGAACTACATAATTGGAAAAATTCTAAACATATTCCACATTTCTCCGAAGATTTCTGTCTACTATTCAATCAAGCACTAGGTACTGCTAGATAGAATTAAAATTAAACACTCTGCAGATGAAATTAACATTACTAACAACCAACAAAGTAGAGAAAAAGCCTGGTTTATCTAGGTGAGCCCAATGAAATCATACAAATCCTTAAAAGTTGTAGAGGGGACCTGAAGAGATGGTTCAGTGGTTAAGAGCACTGGCTATAAAAGAAAAACAAAAGAAAACAAAAACAAAAAACAACAACAAAAAGAGCACTGGCTATCTTCCAGAGGACCTAGGTTCAAGTCCCAGAATCCATATGGTGGCCCACAACTGTCCAAGAGATTTGTCACCCTCTTCTGGGAGTACCAGGCAACACACGCTGAACTAACTAACATACATGCAACCATAACACACATTAATTTAACGCCGCCCCCCCCCCCCGAAAAAATACCTTCTTAAGTATTAGAGGAAGGCAGAAGAATGGGAGAAACTGCATAAGCAGGATAAAGCAGGAGGTCAGAGGCGCAAGCACTTCATCAACAGTCCTCAAGGGCTCCCACTGTCACTGGTTTTGGAGAAGGCAAAAAAAGGGGGTGGGGGGCAGCCTCTGGAAGCAAAGAACAAACTCTAGCCAACAACCAACCAGGAAACAGAGGCACCAATCCTTCAATCTCAAGGCAGTCAATTCTGCCAATAACCTGAATGAACCCAGAAACAGATTCTCCCTCAGGGGTGTCAAGATAAAAGCTCAGGCTGGCCAAATACCTCCATTTCAACTTCTCAAGACCTGCCACAAACCAGGAAACCCACTGCTCTTTTGACCTATTGAACTGTGTTGTCTTTAGCCACTTATTTTTTTTATAACTTATAACAGCAACTGTAGAAAATACAGTGCCAAAGATTTAATTTACAGTGTGGAATTAGTACTGTAAGAAAAACTGTACCAGGGGCTAAACTTGCTTTAAGTACCCTGAAAACTTCCCTCTGAAGTGCTAGGGATCAAATCCAAAGCACGGTGCACACTAGGAGAGGGCTCTACTACTGAGCCTCCAGACAAAACTATTTTAACAAGGTACATATACCTGTCAAGAGACCTGATTATTCACACTGGCTTATTAAAGTCCTGGCCTGGGCTTCGAGAATGGCATTTTTTTTTTTTTTCTTTAAAGGTGGCATGCCATTACTCAAATCAGAGTCAAGTCTTATCTGGCCTATTGACTAGTTTGTCTCTTCAATTTTTTTTACTTTATCTTTTTGGTCTTCTTTAAAATATTTATTTTCTTTTTAATTGTGGGGTCTGTGTGTCTGTGCATATATGGGTGAGGTAAGTTGTGGGATATTTGTACACCGTGAGAACATGAATTGCTATGGTTGGTCTAATAAAAAGCTAACTGGCCAATAACTAGGCAGGAGGTATAGGTGGGACTTCTGGGCAGAGACAGAACTCTGGGAAGAAAGAGGGGCACAGTCACCAGCCAGATGGAGAGAAGCAGGAGGTGCAAGATGAAAGGTAAAAAAGCCAGGAGGCAAAAATGAAGATGAATATAAATGGGTTAATTTAAGTTATAAGAGCTAATAGAACAAGCTTAAGGCCTAACTTTCATAATCAATAAGTTTCTGTATCACTACTTGGGGTTGGCAATGGAAAAGAAAGTCCATCTACAGAGGTTTCTATGGAGTCCAGAAGAGAACATCGGTTTCCTTGGAGCTGCAGTTATAGAGTTGTGTGCTGTCCAATATCAGTATTGTTTGTTTGTTTTTAGAAACAGGTTGTGGTAGTTTGAATGAAAACTGGCCCTGTAAGTCTCAGATATCTGAATACTTAGTCTATATTTGGTGGCTGTTTGGGAAGGATTAGGAAGTATGGACTTTGTTGGGAAGAAGTGTGTCACTGGGGAAACGAGTAAGGTTTCAAAAGTCTCCTGTCACCCCCATCTCTCTGTTTCCTGTTTGTGGATAAGGATGTGAGCTCTCAGCTACTACTTCTATGCCATGCCTGCCTGCCTACAGCTATGCACCCCACCATGATGGATGGACTTCTATCCCTCTGGAACTGTAAGTCCCAAATTAACCCTTCCCTGTATAAATTGCCTTGGTCATAGTGTTTTGTTGCAGCAATCTAAAAGTAAAGTTACTTCCCAAATGGCCACCAAATGGGGATGAAGCATTCAAATGCTCCTAAGACTTGGGGCCATTCTCATGTAAACCACTACACAGTCTCACACTACATCCCTGACTAGCCTTGAACTCATGGTAACCCTCCTGTCTAAGCGCTGGGATTATAGGCATGAGCCATCACACTGTTGTCAGTTATTTTTATGTTATATGTTGTCTTAGTTAGGTTTTCTATTGCTGTGAAGAGACACCAAGATCATGGCAACTCTTGTAAAGGAAACATTTAATTGAGGGGTGGCTCTTTTACAGTTTCAGAGGTTCAGTCCATTATCATCACAATAGGGAACATAGCAGTGTACAGGCACAGGTGGTGTTGGAGCTGAGAATGCTGTATCTTGCAGGCAACAGGAAGTCAACTGAGACACTGGGTGGTATCCTCAAAGCCCACCCCTACAGTGACACAATTCCTCCAACAAGGCCACATCTCCAAATAGTACCATTCCCTATGAGACTACCACATATGTAGATACATGTTAAGCTATTTTTATATTTAAATATCTTAATAGTTTGCAAGGAACTAAAAAGCCTATAGATAATTATCAAATTCAGAAGAGAAAAAGGACAGAGATACATGGAGATAAAGAAAATGAGTTATTAGTTCCCATCAACATCTTCATTACCATTATCTCGTAAGTATGATCACTCTGATGTTTCTTGTACTCAAATCCTCGAGTGAAACACTGTGAAGAAAAAAAGTTAAATTACCAAAGCTACATTAAAAAAAAATAAAACAAAAAAACTTTCTTAGGGCTGGGAATGAAGCTTAGCTGGTAGAGTACTTGCCACACATACACAAAGTGCTGGACTCAACCCCAGCATTTGGGAGGTGGAGCTAGGAGGATCAAGTTCAAGGTCATTCTCTCTGAGCTACATAGCAAGTTCAAGGCAAGTTAGACTACATGTGACCACATCTTAGCCACCACATCTTTAAAAAATAAAATAAAAGCCAGGTTTGGTGATGCACACCTTTAATTCTAGCACTTGAGAGGCAGAGGCAGGTGAATCTCTACAAGTTGGAGGCCAACTTGGTCTTCATAGTTCCAAGAAAGTCAAGGCTATGTGGAGAGACCATCTCAAAACACCAAAAATAATAAATAAACTAAAAAAAAAGACAAAAAATGGCTTGAGGGTGCTGTACTTTTACTTTTGAAAATTTGAGACAGGATCTCATGTAGTTCAGGTTAGTCTTAATCTCCCTATGTAGTCCAAGCTGGCCTTGAATACCTGATCTTCCTGCCTCTCCACCTCCAAAGTTCTAAAGCTACAAGCATTCACTGCCACTACCAGCCTAGAATACTTCAGTCTTATGAGTTGTAGGTTTTTTTTTTTTTTTTTTTTTTTTTTGAGGGGGAAGTCTTCTCTTGCTTTTGTATGCTAAAAAGAATTTTGCTATGTAGCCCAGGCTGGCTTAGTCTTCCTTCCTGCTATTCATCCTCTCAAAATGCACCCCAAGCCCAGTATATAATCTTATAATTCAAGGTGTATCACAACTTTTATCAGTCACTTTTTACATTTTAACACATCTAAAACTGGAATGCTGTGTGTGTGTGTGTGTGTGTGTGTGTGTGTGTGTGTATGATTGTGTTTGTAGGTGAACTGGCCTATGCATACCCTTATGGATGCCATCACTGGGTCTTCCTCTATGGCTTTCCCCTTTACTTCCCAAGATAGGATCTCTCACTAAACCTAGAGCTTGTTGTTTCAGCTAGTCTGGCTAACTAACAAATCCTTAGGATCCTCCTATTTCTACTCCCTTCCCACTATGGGGTTACAGGCAAATGCTACCATGCCCAGGTTTTAATGGATGCTGGCGATTCAAACTCAGGTCCTCATACTTTCACAGCAAACAATTTATCCCCTGAACCATTTCTGCCATCGCTGGAATATTTCTTATAATCAAATGTCTTAGATTACATAAGACCTGACATTCTCAACAAGCAAATTATTTAGGCTTTCTTTGGCTGAGTTTCATCTGTAAAATGCATATATTTATTTATTCATTTCAGAGCACTGTAGTGATGGATTAGGGGCTGATTCAAGTGAGGTACTCAAAATAGTAACTGGCACACTTATAGTCAGTATTACCCCTAATATAACCCACAAAATAGTTTGTTCCCTTGTCATCTATATAAAGATCACTCTAACAAACTAATAAACAGTGAGATCAAAAGGAACAACCTGTCACTTCTGATCCTTATAATCTAAATACTTTAAATTTACTCAGGAAAAGTGATAAGCATTAAGTTGAGACGTTCTACAGAACAGACAGATGGATGGTCTGTCTCCTCCATCTGCTGTTTCTGAACTTCCTGGTAAAGTTTAAGAGGGAGGACCACTTGCAGGAAGAGAGCTCAAGCAGTGTGGTCCTAAGCTACCTCAAGTTACTGCAACCACAAAACACACCAAGAGAGACACCCTCTCCTCAGGGAGTTACCTGCAAACACAGGAAGAAAGGAGGAGGCCCGCATTCAGCACACTTAATGTAAGGTTCCATGAGGTAGGAGGAGCAGCCTCTGCAAGGGGGCTTATCAGATGGATCATCTAGAACACAGAAAACAAACACAAGTTTAAAACCTTTGAATACCATTAAGTGCAAATGATGAAACTCTGCAAATGGCCGGAGACCCTGACTGTGTTGACAAACTTGTTTCACATATAAACAAAAGCACTCTCCTTCTGTTACATGGCAACGTGTTCCTTCCTCCAGTGCACCTACTGGTTCAAACATGGAGGCAGAGAGGGTGGAGGCAGAGAAACTTAACAGAACTTTTAAAGTTTTACAAAGCCCACTTTGCCACAAGGAAAAGAAAAATGGGCACATTCCCTACACAGCACACATATACAAAGCAAACCAGACAGAATGCTAACAATTGCTCCATAGGCAGCAGTGTGCAAGTAGCCACCACTGCCTGTTCTTTCAACTTCTCTGCAAGTTTTAATTATTTTGTTTGTTTGGAGCCGTTCCTGGAGGCACTCTGTGGACTAGGCTGGCCTCAAACTCACTCTACTTGCCTTTGCCTTCTGAGTGTTAGGATTAAATGCCTGGCTTCATTTTTTTTTTCTTAAGTCGGGGAAATTCCTATTGGGGATTTAAGCTTTGTGTTTAGGCTGAGACTTCTATCCAGGAAAACACAAAACATTGCAGACCTGCTCTTGTTCTGGTGAAACCAGTAGGTCTCTGAACTATAAAGGCAAAGGGCACAATATAAACTTTCCAAAGCCCTAAAACCTCAGGTATGCACGTTGCAGGTTGCCCCAAATCCTGTCTCTCTGGAGTCAGGACTACTGACTACTCTCTGTGATTACCCACAGGAATGTGGAACAAAGGCCTTAGAAGGGAGATGAGGCAGGATCTCTTATGACAGCATCTTCTTCCTTAAAGCTAAAATACCCTTCAAGGCACCATCCCTTCCTCCAAAGTCCATTTGCTTTGAAATGAAGACAGGGCGGAAAATGACAAGATAAAGAAATGTACTCCACTGCTGGGCAGTGGTAGTGCACACCTTTAATCCCAACAATTAGGGGGTAGAGGCAGGAGGATTTCTGTGAGTTCTAGGCCATCCTGGTCTGCAGATTAAGTTCCAGGACAGTCAGGGCTACACAGATAAACTTTGCCCACCCCCCCCCAAAAGTATTTCCAGAAGCTTTTCCTTTTGTTGTTTTTGAGACAGGGTCTCATGTAGCCCAGGCTGTTCTCCATCCATTATGACCTTCAACTCCTGATCTTCCTGCTTCTGCCTCCAAAGTAGAGGGATTACAGGCATTCGCCATCCACTACTTCTGGTGAAAAAATAAAATAAAAGGTGCTAGATGTCTTTAACGCGCGCGCGTGCGTGCGTGTGTGTGTGTGTGTGTGTGTGTGTGTGTGTGTGTGTGTGTGATATGTGTGTTGCTCATGGAGGCCAGGGGTCAAGTCCCGGAGCTGGAGTTACAGACAGCTGTGGGCCACCTGATATGCTTGCTGGGAACTAAACTCCAGCCACCACAGGAGCAGAACACCTTAAGTGACAAGCCATCTCTCCAACCCCAGATGTCAATCTTTACCAAATCAGCATTTCCTGAATTCTTGCTTGTAAAATAAAATATCTACATTGCTTTGGAGGTTGTCCTAGAACTCACTCTATAGACAAGGCTGGCCTCGAACTCAGAGATCCACCTGCCTCTGCCTCCTGAGTGCTGGGATTAAAGGCGTGTACCACCAATGCCCAGCTTTTTATTTTTAAGGGACAGGCTCTACATTGTTGAGGGTGCCCCTGGACTCCTAGACCCAAGTCATTCCCAAGTCATCACCATAGAAACTCTCTTAACATTTTTGTCTTACATTTTAGTGTGTGTGTGTGTGTGTGTGTGTGTGTGTGTGTGTGTGTGTATGTATGTATGTATGTATGTACATGTGCAAGAGCATATGGAGGGCAGGAGACTTGAGAGTCAGTTCTCTTCTTCCACCATGTAACCAGGGATTGAACTCAAGTCCTCAGGCTTGAGCCATCTTGCTGACCCTTTCCTATTTTAACAGTTCACTGCATCAATTAGCTAACCTCATGGTTCTCTGCCACACCTTAGGAAAACATTTTGAAAATCTAAACAAAAAAAGGTAGGCTTTTGATGCTGTAATGACTAGGATGCACTAATAACATTTTGTAGACAGGAACTGGGATTCTAGGTCTTCTGAAGTACTCAGGATACTCCTTCCTACACAGCTGGGGGAGAGGGGGAAGCAAACCAACAAAAAGCCTTGACTGAAGTCCTTAGCAAGTTTCAATTATCTCATTAAAAATTCAACTAGAAAGCCCAGCAGCAGTGGTGCATGCCTTTAATCCCAGCACTAGGGAGGCAGAGGCAGACAGATCTGTGAGTTCCAGGCCAGCCTGGTCTACAAAGTGAGTTCCAGGACAGGACAGGCAAGGCTACACAGAGAAACCCTGTCCCAAAAACAAAAACAAATCAACTAGATAGAAAACTAAATCTCCCAATTACATGGCCTAGAACCCATTACTATTTCATATGTAAAAAAATATTTATGGTTTTGCTAGTGTTGGGAATCTGACCTGGGACGTTGTACATGCTAGTCAGACAGGCATGCAGCAGCAACCACTGGGCTATAGTCCTAGCCCCAACTAAGATATTTCTGACAGCTGGGTGGGTGGGTGGTGTGGGTGTGGGTGTAGGTGGTGGTGATCCACGCCTTTAATCCCAGCATTCAGGAGACAAGCAGGCAGATCTTTATGAGATCCACACCAGCTAGAGCTACTTAGTGAGACCCTGTCTCAAAGAAAAAATATTGACAGTTTAGACTGAATCCTCTAGTATGACAAGTATACACAAGTCAAGAGGAGGCTGTATTCTGTTTTGCTGAAACTTGACCATGGATTACTAAGACTTGCAGCATTTCTTAGTCACTAACAGCCTGAATCATCCTCAATTTCTCATGGTAAGATGCAGTGATTCAACCTCTGGGTCTCAGCAGTTGAATGCTTAAGTCATCATGTCTCTTTCTGCTTTTATGTCCTGCCCCCATCCTTCCAAACCCATTTTTTTTGAGACAAGGTTTTACTGTAACTCAGGCTGTCCCCTGAACTGGAGACAATCCTGCCCTCAGCACCCAAGTGCTGGGATTACAAACATGTGCCATCACACCTGGGTGTAATCATGCTAGTTTACTATAAATTATATTATTTCATTGCAGACTACTCCTTTTACTATGGAATCATTTTTATTCTTGAAAACATGTATCTACATATTCCATTTTCAATTAATAGACTTGAAAAATAACAAAAAATAACTGGGTTGGGCTGGAGAGATGGCTCAGAGTTTAAGAGCACTGACTGCTCGCTCTTCCAGAGGTCCTGAGTTCAATTCCCAGCAACCACATGGTGGCTCACAACCATCTATTATGAGATCTGGTGCCCTCTTCTGGTGTGCAGATATACACGGAAGCAGAATGTTGTATACATAATAAATAAAACATTTTTTAAAAAGTTTGTTTAAAAAAACTAATAACTGGGTCTAAAAGGTTGAGAACTAATCTTAACAGTGCCCAAATAATGGCCATATATGCACTTATGATATCATCATTTTACTTCTCAGTATGGCCATATATGCACTTATGATATCATCATTTTACTTCTCAGTATCTTTGATATGTACATTTTACATTTCTCCCTCTCCATGTATTTTCTTAAAACTAAAATTATTGAATGCACAAAGGACAGATCTAGGGTTTTGAAGGTTTATTTTATGATTATATTTATTTATCTACTTTGTGTATATTCCAGTGGGCAAGAAGGAATTATGTAACATGAGCATACCTGTGTTACATAACTCACAACCACCTGTAATTCCAGCTGCAGGGGCTGATATTTCTTCTAGACCTCCATGGGTATCTGCACTCATACGTATATTCCAACACACGTAATTAAAAACAATAAAATAAAAAAAAATTCTGAGGAAATAGTTTTAAAATGTGACTAAAGCAAAAAGAAAAAAAAAAACACTCTAAATGGGCTGGAGAGAAGGCTCAGTGGTTCAGAGCCTATCATGTTCTTCTGGAGGACTCAAGTTTGGTTCCCACCAAGCAACCAAACACACTGCACGGCTCACAACAGTTGCAACATCAGTGCCAGGGGATCCTGACACCTTCTGGCCTCCTCAGGCACCTGCACTCACATGTACATATTCCCACACAGATACACATGATTAAAAATTAAATAAATCTTTGGTGCTGGAGAAATGGTTCAGCAGTTAACAGCACTGACTGTTCTTGCAGAGGACCAGGGTTCAATTCCCAGCATCCATATGGCAACTCACAACCATCTGTAACTTCCTTTTTTAGCCTCTGAAGGCATCAGGCACACATGTGGTGCACAGACATACATGCAGGCAAAACATCCATACACATAAAATAAGAAAGAAAATTTATAAACAGGGCTAGAAATATGGCTCAGTGCTTAAGAGAGTTTATTGCTCTTGCAGAAGACTTAGGTTCTGTACCCAGTACCCATACATCTGTAACTCCAGTTCCAGGTGATCCCAAACCCTTTTCTGGTCTTCATGGGTCCTGTAAACACATAGTGCACATAAACTCACAGAAGTGAACACACACACACACACAAACAAACACATCTTTACAAAACAAAAACTATAAAGCTGAAAAAGCAAGTAAACTGGAAGAAAATATTTGCAAATCTAGAGAGAAAAAGTCTGAAATTGTTGTTTTTTTTTTAAATCTTCATTTTTATTTTATGTGTATGGGTGTTTTAGCTGCATGAATGTCTCTGCACCATGTACATGCAGTACCTGTGGAGACCAGAAGGTGTCAGCTCCTCTAGGACTGGAGTTGCAGACAGTTGTGAGCCCTCAGTTGTTGCTGGTGGTCAAACTTAGGACCTCTGGAAGACCAGCCAATAACCTTAACCACTGAACCATCACTCAAGCACCTGAAATTCTTTTCATTTTGTTTTTTGAGGCAGGGTTTCCCTGTGTGTAGCCTTGGAGCTTGCTCTGTGTCATCACAACATGCCTTAACAATTCTGTTTTAAAAGATGGGAGTAAACTGGGTAGTGGTGGCACATGCCTTTAATCCCAGCACTCAGGAGGCAGAGGTAGATGGATCTCTGAGTTTGAGGCCAGCCTGTTCTACAAGAGCTAGTTCCAGGACAGCCTCCAAAGCCACAGAGAAACCATGTCTTGAAGCAAAACAAAACAAAACAAAACAAGATGGGAGTAAACTTGGTAGTGGTACTTTAATCCCAGCCTTTGAGAGACAGAGGCAGGAGGACCTCTCTTGAGTTCCAGGATAGCCAACACTGTTACACAGAGAAACCCTGTCTCAAAAAACCAAAACCAAACCAAACGGTATGGATAGTTTCAGTTTATACTTGGAGCACTGTTGAACTGAAAATGTAGAAGTAGATATGTCCAAAGATTCTTCTTTTCTAAATAAATGTAGAGAAAATGCAGAAGGCCTTTAAGAAAATGCAAAGAAACAAAACCTGAAAAATACATTTCTGGTTCTTACTGGGTTACTAATGATCTACTTTGTGACTGCACTTGTGTGTGTGTCCGTGTATGCACAAGTGTGTGTAACCTAATTTTGTGATTTCTATTTCTTCAAAATCTAATGGTGGCACATGTCTGAATTCTCAGCACTTGGGAAAATAAGTAGGTCAAGGTCTTCCTTAGCTATGAAGCCAGTTCCAGGCCAGCCCAGCTACATGAGGCCCTGGGCTCAAAAATAAAAGTGTTTTAAATACAGATCAATCACACGGTGGCTGGTTCACTCAGCCTGGTTTTATTCTAAGACTTGAGGTGATAGATACATTTGTGTTATCTTCAGTAGGCAACCAAAAGGTACTGGCTGATTTTACTTTTACATGACATTAATTCTTTCAGGCATTATCAATCAACTTCAAAGGCGTTGCTTCCATGATCAACTTCTACTTTAGTTTGCTATTCATCTTCACTTGAGACTTGCTCCATGGTACTTACTGCTAAAGGAACCCAAACGGTCCATTCTCTAACTGACAGTGAGGGCTGTTATTCCTGATCTTCCTTGATAGGGAGCTTCTTCAAGACTTCAGAAGTGGCCAAAAATTAACGATCCCCTAAGAACAAACAGAAGAGCCACATGGATCAGAAAACCATTCAAAGTAGGACAGTGGTGGTCCTTTAATCCAAGCACTCGGGAAGCAGAGGCAGGTGGATATCTGTGAGTTCCAGGCCAACCTGGTCTACAGAGCTAGTTCCAGGACAGCTAGGGCTATTACACAAAGAAACCCTGTGTCGAAAAACCAAAGGAAAGAAAAGCATTCAAAGGTCTATTACAAGTAGCACCTTCAACCCTGTCATGCCAGGAGTTTATGATGCTGGGGGACCTGCTCTTCCTCTACATACCTGACTGTCCTTTGTATAAAAGGGGTCTGATGCAACAAGCTCAACCTCAAAGTTGTGAGCATTAAATGTATACTCAGCTATCTATATAGCGTAGCCTTGCTTTTGAAGCAGACTCACTATGGTAGTCCAGGCTGGCATCCAACTAGGGAGCCTGCCTTAGCTCCCCAGGTCAGGGGTCAAAGGTATGTTCCACCACAACCAGCAAATGCTGTGAATTTCTTCTTCTTCTTTTTTTTTTTGCTTTGGAGCCTATGGTGGCACTCGCTCTGGAGACCAGGCTGGCCTCACAGAGATCCACCTGCCTCTGCCTCCCAAGTGCTGGGATTAAAGGCGTGGGCCACCAACGCTCGGCTTATGAATTTCTAATAAACAATTCTTTGCTTTCTCTGCCAAGTATCCATTCCCTTAGGCTGGATTTACTTTGGTGAACTGACGGCAAATGGTGGGGTAGCCAAATCACAACACTCAGACCTCCATGTTCACAGAATTTAAAGTACATCCTTCTTACAAACTCTGCAACTTGCTGGTGTGGTGGTATATAAAAATCCCAGTAGGCAGAAGGCAACAGGTCTCTGTGAGTTCAAGACCAGCCTAGTCTACATAGTGGGATTCTGGGATGGCCATCATTACATAGTGAGACCCTGTCTCAAAAAATAAATTTTAACCTGAGTTTTATTACTGGAGACCATGAAATTCTACCCAAATCAGGTAATGGTGGTGCATTCACTTAATCCCGGGACTTGGGAGGCAGAGGCAGGCAGATCTCTTGAGTTCCAGTCCAGCCTGGTCTACAAAGAGAGATCCAGGACAGCCAGGGATGTTACACAGAGAAACCCTGTCTCGAAAAAAACCAACAAGAAACAACAAATTTGAGGCAGGTTTCCTCTGTGTAGCTCTGGCTGTCCTGTCTAGACGAGGCTGGCCATGAACTCAAAGGTCCGATTGCCTCTTCCTCCCGAGTACTGGGATTAAAGGCGTGCTCCACAACCACCCAGAAAAAAAAATGAATTTAACAAAGGAATAGTATACATCCAGGAATAAAACAGCAAGCCAACATCCATATGGCTGGAAATAAATGGTATCACTGTATGTGGAATAAATCTTGGAATCCTAACAATCTCCTGGAACAGGCCATTTTTTCCAAGGAAAGGAAGCGCTTTCTGGGGCATTGGCACCACGTTTACAGGCTGGTGAACAGCGGGGCCCTATCAATAGAAGCTTACACTGTAAAGGATGCTAGAATACTCTCTGGCAAACACTCCACGTCACAAAGCACAATGCTGCGGAAAGCAAAAATCTTTCTTCTCCTTTCTTAAAAAGCCCACGCAGTGATACTAACATCCTTGAGAATCGGGCTACATTCAGATTAATTACTAGAGGAAGGAAGGAAGGGACCGAGGGGCAGGCTCCCGGAGTTGCGGGCTTGGCGGTTGTGCAGACAGCATCCTTACAGCCGTATGGCCTTGGGCAAGTCATTGTACTAGCGCCTCGGCTCGCAGACGCTGCTCAACACTGGCTCGCCGAGACCCACGTGGGGTTCGGCGGATCAGGTGGGCCGGGGCCGCGCTCCACC